CCTGCACCAGCATCAAATTTGGGGAACTTGTTAGAGGTGCCACTTCTTTGTCTCCGTCCCATACCTACTGAATCTGCACCTCTGGAGATAGAGCCTGGAAATCTATTTTCTCCTCACCCCCAAGGATTGAACCCAAGTCTTCCGCACTGGGCTGCGCTCCCCAAATTTTATTTTATTTTGAGACAGGGTCTTGCTAAGTCACTAAGTCTGAGGCAGGAGGATCATAAGTTCCATCCCAGCCTAGGCAATTTTGCAATCTGTGCTTTAATAAGTCCTGACTCATTTAGTGACTCCAAGCACACTAAAATGTAAAAGCCATAGCAACAACCCTCTAACTGGATCCCTGATTTTGTGTCTCTACCAATCTAATTCCAACTCCATTTAGCAACAAGAGTGACCAGAATATGTCAACGCCCTGCTGAAAACTCTGCTGAGGCTCTCCATGGCCCATCTTCAGGGAAAGAAGTAAAACCTCAAATACTTGCGCCAGGCATGGTGGCATAAACCTGTAATCTCAGCACTCAGGAGGTTGAGGCAGGAGGATCATTGTCAGTTCACCAGAGTGGAAGGCCTGGCCAAATAGCTCAGCAGATTAAAGTACCTGTTTAGGCAGATGCAGGGATCTGGAGTTTGATCCCTGGGGGTACTATGTGGGCCCCACCCCCAGGGCACACTGAGATGGTGATTGATACTGGGCATGGTGGCACATGCCTGTAATCCCAGCACTTGGAAGGCTGTAAAACAGGAGGATCACTACAGGTCCAATCTATGTAGTGAGACCCTGTAACCCTGTCCTAAATAAAACAAACAAACAAAGAGTGGGCTACAAAGTGTGCTCAAAACCAGACTAAATTGCATAGCAGGACCCTGTCTCAAAAAAACAAAACAGGGGCTGGGGAGTTAGCTCAGTAGAATAAGTGCTTGTCTGGCAAGCTCAAGGGCCTGAGTTCAATCTCCAGTTCCACAAAAAACAAAACAAAACAAAACAAAAACTCCTCAAACACTCTAATCAGCATTTCAGACTCTTCCTTTACCTGATCATAAACTACTTTACAAGAAATTTAAAGAAAAAATAGAAAATATGTCTAGTGTTGTGCTTGGTGAGTGGCATGTGCATGGTGCATGGCCAGTGAATGCCTATTAAATCTCAAATGAATAAATGGATGACTTTATTAATTCTTCAGTCTATGAAGAAGAAATCCTTCCAGGTATAGTGGCACACACTGGCTATTCAGAAGGCCAAAGCAGGAAGATTATAAGTTTGAGGTCAGCCTGAGCATCTTAGTTGTGAGACATTGTCTTAAAAAATAAAAATAGGGGCTGGTGAGATGGCTCAGTGGTCTAAAGCACCTACTTAGAACAAGCTAAGCTAAGCAAAACACAGGGACCGCAGTTCAATCCCCCAGCACCACATGCCAGACAGCCCCGCCCCCTGGTGGGCTGAGCTGGCCACACACACATAAATAAATAAATAAAAAATTAAAAAAAAATAAAATAAAAATAATTGGGACTGGTGAGATGGCTCAGTGGTCTAAAGCACCTACTTAGAACAAGTTTAGCAAAGCACAGGGACCGCCATTCAATCCCCCAGCACCACATGCTGGCCAGCCCTGCCCCCTGGTGGGCTGAGCTGGCCACACACACACACACACACACACACACACACACAAATAAAATCTTAAAAAATAAAATAAAATAAACATAAAAATAATTGGGCTGGCCAAATAGCTCAGCAGGGGGTGGGGGTTCGATCCCTGGGCCTGCTGTGTCAGCCCCGCCCCTGGGGCACACAGACAGAAATTGAGACTGGGCATGATGGGGCGTGCCTGTAATCCCAGCTCTTGGGAGGCTGTAAACAGGCAGATTACCATGAGTCCGATCTAGTAGTGAGACCCTGAACACCCTGTAGACCCTTCCCTAAAATTAAAAAAAAAAAATTTAAAGGGCTGGGGATGTAGCTTGGTGGTAGATTTCCATTCCAACAAATACACCACACACACACACACACACACACACACACACACACACACACCCCTTTCCAAAAGATTATATGTGAACACAACTCTCAGTAACTAGACATAGAACTCAATTATAATCTGAGATCATCTGACAAATGAGTGGCTTCACTTATGTCTACTAGAATGTTCTCCATGGTCTCAGCTCTTCTTGGGCTCCCCAAAGGTACAGAGTCCTATGGTTTCAACGCAGAGAACTTTCTTTTCAAGGCCAAGCATCTCCTCACTTTCTGAGGCAGTGAGGTAGGTATTTCTGGTTGCCTTTCTTCTGGAACACATGCAGAACATATGAAACCGGGGGTGTGCCTAGGGATGCATATATAGATGCCCCTGGAAAATGGAGTACACTGCATGTACAGAGAGATCCATGAGAAACATGAGCGCATATAGAAATATAGGACAAGTAGATGCATATGTGCACACATACATACATTCCCACTTGGCATATTACTTTTTCCCAGACATATCTTTTCCCCTCGTTTCAAAAAGTGAGCTTGCATTTGGACTGTTGTTAAGGAAACACAAATCTGTCTCCTTATTGTTCACAGAGCCACCTTCTTCCTCCCAGCTTCTTACAACCTGTTCTAGGACTCTTGGGCAGTGTTTGCAGGGAGAGGAAATCTGGTACAAGATGCCAAGGCTCCACCTTGTGGATACATCACACAATTGCAGCTCAGATCATCCTTTTGCCCTCTCAGCTGAACTACCGGGAGCAAGCTTGGTCTGGAAAGGTTTGCCTGCCTCCCCTCACTGGATCCCAGAACTCTGGCCATTCTTTGTTAAAGTGGCAAGCTCAGCCTGTTTTGCTAGGTTGACTCTACCACTGCGCAAGAGGAAGCACCTTAGTAGCTGGAAGCATGGGCAGTTGTCACTTGTTTTGGGGTCCTTCCCTTCTCTCCACTTCTTCAATGGTCTCAATCGCTGCTATGAAATGACTCTGAGGACCCTCTATACTGAATGTCCAAATCTGTCACTTGCTTATCCCTCTCTGCTTCATACCATGGAGAGAAACCACCCCTTTGGTTTGCTGCAGGCAGTACAAATTCACCACTTAGCAAACTGAGCTTGTATTTCCCACAAATTTGTTTTCTCCTGATGTTCCCCGCTATAGTGAATGGCCCCACTATCCACTCAATGGCTCGGATCAGGAATCTGGAGTCATCCTTGGCTCCTCTTCATCTTAGACTAATTGTCAAGTGCTCTTACCTAACTCCTACCTTTATGTCTCCATCCTCACTGCCACTGGCTTAGTTCTGACTTATCACCCCATACGCTCTCTGCCTCAGTTGTTCCTGTAACAGGCAACCATCTCTCTGTAATACAAACTGTATCCTCCTTACACTGTTCAAAAATTGGCAATCTGGCCCCACAGCATGATCCTGTATTTAAGCTTCTGAGCACAGCACACTGGGCTCTTACGATCTGATCTTCCCTCCACTGACCTGTTCCACTTCACACTGCGCCGTGGTAGATACACCTGTCATTCTTCTGCTTGGCCACTCACTCATGCCTCTCTCTCATGTCTCAGCACAAACACGCTTGGAGTTTTTCTCAACTTGTGTAGCCAGACTGAGGTCCTTCATGCTGACCATGTTTTATTTGAATCTCCACAGAAGCCGTTGCTTATACTTTGGTGCTGCCTTATGTGTCTCTCCTCTAGATTTTAAGCTGCTTGAATAAGAGGTCTATGATATATCCTTTAACTCAAGAATTCATGCTAAGGGGCTGGGGAGATAGCTCAGTAGAATAAGCGCTTGCCTGGCAAGCGCAAGGGTCTGAGTTCAATCCCCAGTTCCACAAAAAAAAAAAAAAAAAAAAAAAATTCATGCTAAGAAGGCAGGGTTCTGTATATCCAGGAAGTAAGTGAATATTCTTGCTATGCATAACCAGCCACGGGTAGGCAATAGGATGTGCTTACAAGTTTGAAGGCATACGTGGAGTCTGTGGATGGTCTTGGCCATGGGCTAGTCTGTCTCCGACCTGACAGCTTTGGCTCAGGCCTGCTGAGGCAGAGATGGTTGGCTTGGCTACTGCTAATGCTCTCACATTTAGCCTGCAGGTTTTGTTAGGCTGGTAGTGATTTAATTAGCCAACATTCAACAGTGAGATTTCACATAAAAAATTCTGACTTTAAAAATTGGAGGGGGCCGGCAGGATAGCTCAATGGACTAAGTGCCTGCCTAGGCAAATGCAGGGACTGCAGTTTGATCCCTGGCACCACATGCCATGCTGGCCCCACCCCTGGGCACACTGAACCAGCCACCAAGTCCTAGTGTAGTAGCACACACCTATAATCCCAGTGATGGAGAGGTGAAAACAGGAGGATCAATAGAAGTCCAAGCTGTGTAGTGAGACCCTGTACCAAATAATTTAAAATAATAATAATAAAAACTGGAGGATACAGCGGGGCATGGTGTATTCCTCTAATTCCAGCACTGTGAGCTGAGGCGGTAGGATCCCACGGTTGAGCTCAGCCTGAGCAACCTAGTGGTCTAGTGAAACTTTATCCATTCCCCAGCGCTCACCAAGGGCTGGTGATGTAGCTCAGTGCAAAGGCCCAAAATTCAATCCCTAGTGCCACACCAACCCAGACACAGATGCACACACACGGGGGATATATGGCAGTGCTACTTGACAACCACCTGCTGATGACAGCAGGCAGTTTTCCTTTGTCCCCAAAAGTCCACTTAAGCCTGACCATACCAAGAGCTGGAATTGTAAGCCCACTGTACAGTGGAGGGTATGGGCTTGGGGTTGAGGGCCTGCATAGAGCACTGGCTCCACCTTGAGCAAGTCATTAATCCATGCCTAAGTCTACCTGTGAAACTGGAATTATATCCCTTCTTCCCAGGACCGAATAATACTTGTGAAGTGTGCTTGGCAGGACATATGTGTTCAGCAAATGGCAGTCGTGAGCTCATGGAGCCTGATGGGGAGAGAGCAGGAGCAGGACAGACCACACAGGAGGCTTCTTGTCACCAATGAACATTTATTGAGTGTCCACATGTGCACAGCTTTGAACTTGGCGGTCACAGAACGCACTGGAGGAGGGTTGGGGTGGGGGTAGCAAGGGGTTAGGTGGGGAGGAAGGGGCCCTCCCCCACCAGGTTGATAAGGAAGGTAGTCCCTGCTGGAGCCGCCAGTCGCGTCTCTCTGCAGAGAGGAGTCATAGCAGGGGTGGGAATTGAAGCCAGGCACCACGGTGGCAATGGGGTGCAATCATTGGAGAAACATGCGGATTCTAGGGAGCTGTCCCTCTTGTTCCTGGCTCCAGCCAGATGGTATCAAGGGGACAAGGATCAGATGCTCAGGTATCCAAGCAAGGATAAGGACAAGCAAAATAAATAAATAACCCCTAACCCCCCTCATCACTCTGCTGCAACATGACACGAAAGCTTAGAGACTTGGGCCCAAGCACTCTTGGGTTCCCTCAAGGAAGCTCGGGTGGAAGGAGGTTCCCCACCCCCCATGGGCTCGTCTGCCCCAGGCTGCCCTGAAAGGACAGGGCAGCTCAGACCCTGGTCACTGGAGTTGAAAGGAAGAACTTTGATGTCAATGGCCTGAGCCTACACTCTGCCCAAGAGGGTCAAGGGCAAGAGCCAAATGGCCAATATAAAGGACGTGGACCTGGGGGGCCAGAGGGGCACCACAGTCTGGGGAGGCCACGCCCTGGCCGGCAGGGCACATGGGCTAAGGCAGTCAGCTCCTGCCAGCCCTGTCCTACTCTGGGACCTTCCTCCTGCAGAGGAGCCAGACATTGGGCACAATGACACCTAGTGCCCCCCTCCCTGGGGGCTACTCCAACCTTCCCCGGCCTGGCGGGGACAACCACATTGATTTCCAAGCCCATCCCTGCCCCCATGGAGGCCTGGGGGGCGGGATGCAGTTCCTTACACTTGAGTGGTGGGCACCATGCCCTTGCCCTCAGAAAAGCCAGAAAGCTGGGGTGTTTGGGGGGGAAGTCTGGGGAGGGGGATCCAGTTTTGGGGCTTCAGGGAAGATGCCTCCTCCCTCCTTCCCTCGCTACCCGCCCCCGAGTCTGTCCCCAGTGGACACCACTCAGGGCTCTGACAGGCACTGCTCCAAGGCGGCCATGCGGTAGTGGCTGGCCGTTTCCTCACCTGCCTGCAGCCTCATGGCCTCCCGGCACAGCCGGTTGGCCCGTGCCAATTCTACCAGGACGCCCTGATAGGCGGCCACCATCTCAGGCTTGACGGAGTTGGGGCTGACACTGCCTAACAGCTGGAGCAGCTCCTGCGGCCAGCGGGAGCGCAGGGCGGCAGGAGCCAGCCAAGGCAGCAGTGGCACGCAGCCTGTGAAGGCTTGCATACCCAGGAACCACAGCTCCTGCAGGTCAGCCCAGATGCCCTCGTAGTCAGGGGACAGGGCCAGCACTGCCTGCTCGGAGCCAGGCGTGGCCCTTGCCACGTGGGACTGTGATAGGAAGAGGATGGCGGCTGCGAAGAAACCTCGGGATGCTGGGGTTCCCTGAAGAGCTGGAAGGCACAGAGGGAGAGATGGCATGAGCCACTGGGACAGCCTCTCAGCTTGGGGACAAGCCTCTCACTCTCACCACGCAGTGTCCTGTGTGGACACTCAGGGAGTGGAAGCATCGCCTGGCACCTTTGACGCTGCATGATGACTACCGTGGGCTGAGCCTTACGATTTGTTGTAAGAATTAAATGAAATGATCTTGGTACACTCCATCACTGAGACCTTTCCAGGTACAGGAGGTAGGAGTGAAGTCCATGTCCACTGTGAGAGAGCGCCATCTCCAGGGTTCTCACAGCAGGGACTCCAGCATGGTGTAGCCTACAGCCCTTGACCAGGCTGAGGACCCATCAGCTTGATGCAAGGGCCAGAAGGGGGCGCCAGAGGGGACAGGTGAGCAGAGATTGCTTTTGCCTACATCTGCAAGCGCTGGGAGAGGCTGTTTAGCTAACCTGGAGGCATTTATGGGTGAGCCAGCACTGGGACTATGACACGGTGGTTCTGAGGCTGGCTGAGAATGATGTGGGGGGTGTTCCTGGGCCACAGGGACAGGCTCTCCCTCCTCCCATTGCTGGGTAACCTGCTGGGATCCCCACACAGAAAACAAAGAGGCAGCTGAGGGTATGAGCACGTTACACCCTGTTCCCAGGCATCTGCTGAGCTCCTCCAACCTGACAGATGGGGCACAGGGAACAGGCGGGGACAGAGGGACCCAAGCAGACACCCACAGCCAAAGTAGGAGACACTGAGGGCTGCCAGGGGCTGGAGGGGACACCCTTCCCCCTGCACACAGCTGAGTGAGGCAGGGCTGGGGAGAAGCTGCTGTGCACACAGGGAGGCCAAGTGCTGAGGCCTGCCTGTTGCCACTGGGAGGGTGAGGTTTGAGCAGTGAAAAAGCTCAATGGAGGGAAGTGAGGTTTCTGACTCAAGGCCTGGGTGGGGGTAGCTCCACCTTGCAAACACTGGATTCAGAGTCCTTGGGCTGCCAGGGATTCCAGGTGCCTGTGCCTGGAGCAGGCCTGTATTTAACACCCACGAGACCTTGCTTTAAAAGTCTTCAGAAGGAAGAGAATATTATCATTTTGGGAAGAAGGGTGGGGGTGGCGGGTGGAGATACACTGTAGATTTCTTCTTGATGGGAAAATTTTGCAAAATCATTTTCTGCAAATGGGGACTGATGTCCAGAACACAACGGATCCACCCCAGTCTTCTGCCCTTACCCATCAGGCCCAAGTTCCTGGGGCTTACCTGGAGAAGTGCTCAGGAGCCTGGCCATGAGGAGCCCCAGGGTGGCCACGTTGGCAGCTAGAAGCAGTCTCCCTTGTTGCTGCACTAGTGCAGGCAGTGACGTCATCAGAGTGTTCATCAGAGATGTGAAGCAGGCATCACGCCTGGGAGAGAAAGGGAAGGGAGGAGGGGTGAGGGCAGAGGGTGAGCGGATCAGATCAAGCCTTTTGGAAAAGCTGGGATGCGGGGCTTCAGGCTTCACTGGCCCAGGGCTGGCCAAGCAATCAGGCAGCAGGGTAAAGAGTGAACTTTGAGCCCGAGCCTGGCATTTGGGGAGCAGAGGCTGGGCTGTGGTTGGAACAGGTAGACAGTATCTGGGGATACAGCTCTGCCAAATCCTTGAGTGGGACTGGCTTTGCCTACTGAGACCCTTCCTTCATTTTAACACTAAGAAGAACCTGCAGACACAGGCAAGCAGAGTAGGAGGTTGGGCTTTATGACCAAAGGGCAGCCCTCTTTGCTTCTGCTGACATGCACCCAGCCTCTCCCAAGCCCCTCACTTGATCAGCCCTGGTGCAGTGACCACGAGGTTGAGGAAGATGTGGCAGCAGGTCTGCAGGCCGATCTCCACACTGTCAGGCAGCACTGAGGTGTCATGGCCGGGGGATGTGAGCTCCCACTGTTGCAGGAAGTACTTGCACAGAAGTGAGGGGGCCCCCTCCTTGATCAGGATCTCCCGGGGCCCATCTTCCACAGTCAGGTGGCACCAGCCAGGAAGAAGGAGCCTGTGGGTGTGGAAAGGTTAGATGTGTGCAGGGTGAAGAGACAAGGCAAAAAGCTGTCTTTTTTTTTCAGGTCACCCTGCCCTGAGAAGGGTGGAAGTAGAGGAGAAGTGGAAGTAGAGAAGGACATGTCTTTGTAGGGACTACAGAAAAGGCACAAAGATCAAACTGGGGCTCTGCCACAGTGGGACTGTGGGAAAGGTACCTCTTTGAGCCCCTGCTTCCTCATCTTTAAAATGTCAGATTTGCTGTGTGGACCAAATTAGATCATTCTGGTACAGGGGACAACAAAATACCTGGTTCATAGCAGATGCTCAGGAAGCAGAAATTCTCTCTGTCTGGCAGTAATAGGGATTGAAGAGCTTCCTATTACTAAGCTACATTCCTACCTGCCCCCCACCCCGCTTTAAAATTTCTTGAGGAGAAGATTGCACAAAGTAGCTAAGTAGCCCTGACTGGCTTGGGTTTGTGCTTTTCCTGCCTGGCTCAGCCTTGAACAGTGCTGGGATTATAGGCATATACCACCACACCCAGCAAGTCCTCTTTTTATTGAGAAAATATGGGGTTGACAAGTAATACTTACCTGGCTTACACAAATCCTGTGGGGATAACCCCCCTCCCAAACAAACAGAAATAATCCTAAGGGAATTCTCAGCTCCAATCAGGAGCCTGGCACAGCCTAACTTGGGGTGAGATTAAGTGATATTTTGTCACTGTGTGACAGTTTTAGAACGGTCTAGCTGTGCAAAGTGTAACTACAAACTCACCGGAGTGCGTCCCCTGGCCAGGCAGGTCCTGGGGTTGTAGGGGAGATGGCCAAGTTGGCCACTTGTTGTGAAAGGTCATTGGCCTCCTCAGCCTCCTCGTAGAGGGTCTTGGCATAGCGGACAAGGAAAGGCAGCAGCTGGCACACCTCCTTCCGCAGGGATGAGGTCTCCTCAGCCAGCCAGGCACCCAGGATCCGCACGGAGGCAAACACAAAGGGCTCCTTCTGCTTCTCTGGCCCCACCTGTTGCCACAGCACCCCACTGAGATGAAGCCAGCCAGAGAACCATTCCCCTTTACCAGCCTACCAGCCAGCCTCGGAACAAGACAGAAGAGAATTCTGTCCTATGAGCCCTTCAAAGCTGGTTACTAAGTCTTATTCTACCCTATGTGCCCAGACCTAGCATGTAGAAGGGATACCATGAGAGCAGGCCTTCTGTACCGGTCTGTGGAGTGAACTGGATCTCAGACAACAGGCCCCATACTTGGTGATATCCCATTGCACTGCCCTCTCTCCACCTCTAATTTAGCTCAAAGCTGGGGGAACTCTCAGGTCTGCAACTAAGGATTCCTCAACTGGGGTGGGAGGACTGGTCCTCTATTGGGGTGGGAGGATCTGCATATGCCAATAGTGGGAAGGGGTGCCTCCCTTTGGACTAAACCAAAAAACAAGATGAGAGCTTAGCATGGTTTGCTGGATATATGGCTGGTAAGTTCAGTGGCAGGAGCAGAGTGGGCTTCTCAGACAGAAGGAGGGTGGGTGAGGACAGAACTTTCCCAGAGGTTCCGGCTCCTTCTCCTTTTGCCATTGCAAGTTTGTATGTGTGCATATGTAAAACAATGCTACAGAATAAGCAGAACAGACTGCTTCAATTTTGTGTGTGGTGTGTAGTGTGTGTACTGGGGAGCGTTGTATGAGTGGGAGGTTACTGTGTTGTGTGTGTGTGTGTGTGTGTGTGTGTGTGCTGTGAGTGCACATATGGCGTGTGGTGGGTGCCTGTGTGGAGGCTCACAGAAAGAGGGAGAGGGAGGGACACTTGGTCACACACTACTCCTGGAGTGCGTGCTGCAGTACCAGCCGCATGTGCACGCAGCACTCAACCCTTCCGTTCCCTCTGGCTCCCCCAGCTGGGCCCCCTTTGTGGGGCACTGCGCCCTTACCTGCAGCAGGTAGTGGATGACAGCTCCAATGGCCTCCTTCATGATGCTCACAAGCTGCACCTTCTGTGGCTCCTTAAGCAGTGACTGCTCACAGCGGGTACACTCCTGGATCCCCAGCTCCATAAGGGCATAGCAGGCAGTCACCACATCTTCCTTCACCTCTGTGCCTGTCTCCTCCAGGGCCAGCCGTACCTCCACACATGCCAGATTCACCAGGAGGGCCAGGAACTTGCTCCCAGAGTTGCCCGCTGGGATCCAGTCGGACCCGCAGGCGTGAGCCAGGCGGGCTGCCAGCTTCAGTGCAGGGTTGCGCTGCCAGGAACTCAGCTTGCTTCCCAAGATTCGTGCCAGCCCAGCCTGCAGATCCCGGAGGCATTCAGGGGGCACGGTTGTTGGGGGCAGAAAGAGGGGCAGCAGCTGGCAGAGCTCAAACTTGCTGGCATCCTCAGCTTTCTGGAAATCCTCACTGAGGCCTCGTAACACAGCCAGCAAGTCGGGCTCCGCCTCCTTCCAGCATTGGGTCTCTGCAGCGGCCAGCAGCCCCACTAGGAGTGCCAGGGCTTGGTCAAAGCCATAGCCATGCCCCAGGTATGCCTGACAAAGGGCAGACACAGTGCCACCAGCAATGAGGTGCCGGGGCCCACGGGGTGTGCCTGCTACGGCTGTCAGGCACTGGTAGGTGTCATCGATCATGGAGCGGCGGGCAGCATCGTCGGGGTCTCCCCGGGCTGTGAGAAAAGTGCTAAGGATGGGGATCTTGTTCAGGACCTGGGGATGGGTGGCCAGTTCAGGGTCACTGCAGAAACAGGCCAGCAGGGCCACACCTAGGGCCCTGAGAACATGGTCAGGGCAGCCATCGGGTGCCTCCTTGCTGGTCAGGAGACGATTAGGAAAGGTGAAGCCAACGGCATCAAAGATCCTCCGCCGTGTCTTGGCATCGATGTCACCTGCTTTGACTGCCTTGGTCACCTACAGGGGGTACATGCCATCAGCAGGATCAAAGAAAGGTAGAAAGTTCCACTGTCCCTTCCTTGTACCCTGGGGCACTGAGGACTAACAGGATTAGGTTATGCAACAGGACTCACTCCTGGGTCATTTCCTCCAGCTCCTTCTTTCTCCTTGGAGATAGGTGTGATCTTTGTATCCCTCTCATCTATGATTATTCTGTGGAAGGGAGGTACAGTCCTCCTCAACTATTCCTTTGGGCAGTTGAAAAGTTCTTCCTGATGTCTAATCTAGATGCCCAAAACCCGCATTGGAAAGGGCTCAGATCTCAAGCGTAAAATCCCCCAAGATCTGGGGTCCTTCCCTAACTGCTGTCTCTAGAGAAGTCTCTGATCCATTTCCGCCACCTTCTCAGGGGAAATGGCTCCTGTGTCTCTGCTCTGCGTGTCAAAACATTTCCCCTTACATTTCACCTAAACACCTCCTCTGCTGCAGTGTGAGCCCTTGACTCCAGAGCCTTCTCCCTGTTGCCATGGCAAACAAGCAGCGGCTGTACTCCCTCCTCCCTTCACCCCCCACACACTAACCCCCCTCTTTAGCACTGCAGCTCCTGCTCTGCTGTCCCCAGCCTGGGTCCTCCAACAGAGCTAAGACCTGACCTACCTCCCTTACCTTCAACCTACCTGGCTGTCCCCTAGGACCCCTCCTCAGTCACTTCTAGTTCTTTCATTCTCTTAGGTTCCAGAAAAATCATCCCCAGCCCTCAAGTACTCTGCACTAGTTACTACCTGCTGCTGTTACCCTATGAGTCAGCTCCCATCTGCTCTGGGACGCCCCAGAAAGCAAATGCAGGCAGCCTCCTCTAGGGCCCCCAGTGCTATAGCCTATTCACCCCCATTCTTCTTTGCCCCAATTCTCAGGGGAACAAGGGAAAAAAAGTATAATGATAGCAATCTGGGGCCTTCTTTGGTGGCTCCAGGGTTGTCAGCACCACCTATATATCCTTGGGGACTCAGTGACCCCATTCCATGGGGGTCCGGCCACCCAGCCCTTCCCACCTCCCAATTATCAGTAAGTTCCTTACTAGCAGCAGGGCTGCAAACTGCTCACTGTCATTCTTGGCCTCACGGAGGGCTCCCAGGTAGCGCTCCAGGGTGGGGTTTCGGCCCTCTGCCTGGTTCAGAGCTGGTTCGCAATCCGAGGCCATGATGCCCGCCTTGCCCAACTGTGAACACAAGAGGGACTGAGCATCCCTCTGCAGAGGAGGGACAGGGCGGGGGTGGGGGTGGGAGTGGAGGATGGAGGGAGGGATTAGCACAGAGGGAGGGGAGGGACAACTTGGAGGGGTGGCTTCTTCAAGACTGACCTCCCTTGGGGGAGCCCCTTTAAGAGGCTGGACCTGCATATCCTCAGGATGAAGGGACCCTGGTCCAAGGTCACCTCCAGAAAGTGGGAAAGGAGGACCATGCATCCTGCTGCTCAGCTGGACAGCTCTCCTCACCAGTCTCCTGGGGGTAGGAATGGGCTGGCCCCACTACTCAGCAGCCCCTGGCACCAGAGGTCGGGTTCTATCTCTTTCTAGGAGGCACACTGGGAGTGAGTGGTGAGGACAGACGGAAGAATGGAGACATACATGGGTGAAGTTCGATTATCCGGACTCGGGCTGACAAGGGGGAAGAGGGCATCCTAGGCTCTTTACCGCTCCTTTCTTCAGACAGGAGATAAGCTTTGCAAAAGTGAGAATATAAACTCACCAAGGAACGCTTGGAGGCCCCTTTGGGGACCCCACCCCTCTAGCCAGGGCTCTCCAACGCCCCCACAGGCTCCTTGCCTTCTCTCCCATCCCTCCCTGGGGCAGGCAGAGGCAGAGACTGCAGGAGCTGGAGCGGCAGCGGCAGCGGCGACGGCAGTGGTAGCAGAATTAACCCCTTCAGCTCCCTGTTCTCGCCCTCCCCGTCCCACTATCAGCCTGTGAATACCAGCAGGGGCTGGATCAGCAAGAAGGGGTCGGGTAGCTCCTGGGACAAGAGAGACTCCAAAAGCCGGATAATCGAAGCCTGTCTGCTAAGACGGGGATATGGGAAGGGAGGGTTTCCTCGCGGTCAGCACCTGTCCCGCCGCAGCCAGATCACAACACGACATTGATGAAGTCACGACAGGGCAGCGATGAAATCACACTTCACGATGGCGAGGTTATGTCACGAAGAGATCACAGCAAAATCATGACATGGAGGGGGTGGAGAGCCCCCATAAATGACAGGGCAAATTTTTGAGAAAAAGATATATACTGAAAAGGGCTGTGACAAAATGGAGTCTCGACAGGGCACAATGATGTCGCGATATGGCACGATGAAGTCGCGATACGGTCCCCGGGGTGTGTCTGTATCGATCTGCGCCGGCTCCGAGAGGCTCCGGCTGGGATGCAGGGGAGGGCCTGAAGGGGGCTGAGCTCACCAGGCTGCGGCCCCGAGCGGCGAAGTCTTCTCAGGGCGCTAGTCTCCCGGAGCCTGGGGCCGCTGCTCACACCGCGTTGCCCACTCCTGGCTCCCGGCTGCTGCAGCTACACCCCCACCCCCGCATAGCTTTAAACCAATCCGCGGCGACCTCACTCCCAGAGCTGGCCAATGGCAGTACAGGGCGCTAAGCCGTAGGGGGTGTCGCCGTTGCCGCCATTTTCCTTGTGGGCTTTGCCCGTGTCTGGGGCCTGCGGCTCGTGCAAAGAAAGCAAGGCTGCAGACAGTCCCTGGAGAGCAGAAGGCGAGAGGCCAGGGCCCAGATTCCTTCGCTTTGTGCGTAGTTCAACCTCCAGTGCTGCCCCTCCTCCCCCTCGGGCTCACGGCTGGAATTGCGCTTCCGGAGGGTGGGGGCGGGAGGGCTTGATTAGCATGAAGAGTGTGTTTCCGGGTTGAGCTCCGGGAGGTGGGAGGAGGCGGTGTTTCCGGTCGCCGTCGCTGTCCAGGGAGACTGAGGCGAGAGGGAGCTGTCCGGGCGGGAAGCCCGCACTATCTTCTTCCTTTTCTTCCTCCTCCTCCGGGTGAGGGGAGAGAAAGTTGGGGCCCCCAAGCCCATGGACCGGGAGGAGGCGGCTGCCGCCGAGAGCCAGGGCCCCGCTGTGTGGCCCTGAGCCCCGGTAGGTGGCCGGGGCGCCTGGCTGCCAGGCCGAGGACCAGGAGCTCAGGGGAGGGGCAGGCGGGCGGGCAATATATGGGGGTGAGCCAGCCGGGTGTTGGGACCCGGAGGTGGCGCTCCAGTCCTGGCCAGGAGAGTCACCTGCTTCCGGCCTTACAGGTGCGGAGCTCGAGACCCAGGTTAACTCTTTCTATTTTGGGGCCCGGGTCTAGTCATTCATATCTGTCCATCCCCTGACACTTAGATTGACAGGGGGATGGGGACGCTGCCTCTTTTCTAATAGGCTGGACCTCTGCAGCCTCGCCCTTAGCTCCTGTCTCCCGTGTTTCATCTCCCGAACGAGATAGAAAGTTGGTGCACAATAAGGATGGGAGGGGTTCAGCGCGATGTGTAAATTACGACAGGAAACCTCATTCAGGAATTTGAAAGTTTTGTCCCCCTCCCAGAGGGTCTTGTAGTGGCTGATTGATCACAAAGATTAAAGAGGTCAAAACAAAAAACAAAACAAAACAAAACAAAACAACCTCTGGCAGGTTTCAGGAATTCTTTGCCTGCTGTTTCCTCGTGGGGTCTGCCCCTGACAATAGATGTTGTTAATGAAGAGCATTAGCTGAATTTCCTAGTGCTTTCTTGTGATTTACGGACTGGAAACTAGGAACAAGTTGAAGAGACGACCTCCCAGAACAATCTGTTCATTTTTCTAGCTATTTGGAAAACAGTGTCTGCAAATATAAGCAAAGCTATTCATGGCAGTCTGTTCTGTAACTTTCCCAAATATCTGAGACTTTTTTCTTTAAAGCATTACTCTTGATTACTCACACCCGCTGAATAGGCTGTTTCAGACGTGCTCTGTCGTTACTCAAACATATCTTATCGCTGTGTACATAAATGGAGCTCCACGTATGTAGATGACAGACTGAAGTATGATACATCCCCCATCAACCTGAAGTATTAAGTAAACATTACCCCCTGCTCTGTCTGAACAGCTGCTGCAACAGAGAGTGCTTTTAATTTCGGTGTACTTGTAACGCCCTAAATGCCAGAACTATTGGGAGCTTTTCTTGATTTTCGTTTGTCAAGTATTGTGGGGGCGTGTGTTCTCTCCCTGGGTTGTTATCCTTTGATTCGATAACAAACCGTTGGGATCTTGGTGATGTCTTGTTGTTCCTGCCTCTGGTCAGTAAGTCTTTAGCTGGACCCTAGCAGTGATTTGTGCCTGTAGGCAATTGTAGGTTTTAGCAGAATGACTGGTTGGGAGTGCAAATGAAATTAGCTCTGCTCTCTTATGCATGGTTTTAGGACATTGCACTGCTAATCAGCCTGCTAGTCCAATGGTGTTTATTACTCCTGTTTTGAAAGCCTATTCATTTCTTTTCTGCTTTTCCCACCCACCTGCCAGGCTATTGATGACAGGTGTTGAGTCACCTTGAGTTTTAAAATCTTTTGTGGTAGGTAGAAATGTGTTGGGTAAGAATACACACACACACTTACCAATTTCATCTTGGAAAGGTAGAGAAGTTGCTGGGTATATTTTCTCAAACTTAGTCTCCATTTCATAATCTCTCTCTCTTTTTTTTTCCCCCCTGCGGAACCGGGGATTGAACTCAGATCCTTGCATTTGCCGGTCAAGCACTTATCCTACTGAGCCATCTCCCTGGCCCCTTCATAATCTTTTGAACATGTCTTGTCCACACACCTCCTACCTGTCCCCTGCTCTCTGATATGCAACTACAAAACAAAAAGTAGGACTGGATTGAATTGAGTGAGAAAGATGAAGTCATTCAGATGCTTATAGCTCAGTGAAAACCTTTTCTTAAGTAGGCTGCATCTCAGTTTTGCACTGATGTATATATGTGTGTGTCTTGGCATTAGCAATGAAATCCTACCCAGGTAATGTTGATATCCCTGTATGCTAGCTGGGGATGAAGGGTTATCAGCCTATGTCATTTATCAGAGGTGAATGAGGTGCATGCTCAGGTCACCAGAGTTTTATTCTTCCTGTTCTTTCTCTTCCTGTCTTTGTCTCTGTCTCTCTGTCCATCAATTTTATTTTTTCTTCTTCTTAGACAGGGTCTTGCTATGCAGTTCAGGCTAGCCTTAAGCTCACTTTGCAGCCCAGGCTGGTCTCGAACTTACAATGATCCTCCTGCTTCTGCCCCCCGGGTGCTGGGATTACAGGTGTGTCCTACCATGCTGGCCTTCCATCATGTTTTAAAAGGCAGAATCTTGGAATTTTGCCTAGGGTGCCTTGAACTCCTGGGCTCAAGTGATCTTCCTGTCACACCTTGTCTGGTAGCAGAGACTACAGGTGCATACCACTACAAGGAGCCAACAGATGTTCGAGTTGCTTCTTTAGAAATCCTGTCAACTCGTAATACTGCCAATACTTTTTATAATAATTTATGCAGCACATCAAGTTGTATGAGAAGGAAGAAACTTCTGGAAATAACAAATTTTTTTTCCTCCTGCTGGAAGGGAACTGAATTAAGCAGCTTGTAGATTCTGGAGTAGCCATGACAGTGCCTGATACAAATATTTGCTGAGTATGTGTGTGTGAATTTAAGTCAGGAATTGTAAATGACTCTTAGGGATCAGCAGGATGACACTGAAGTGAATTTGATAGATTTTTTAAATAATAGTGGTGGGTGTAATAGCAATCTGGGGAGTTCATGCCCTACCTAAATATAATTAGGTATTAAAAAGTTTTTATAGCATCCTCAGGTTAGTTAAGAAGTCCAATCTCAGGGCTGGGGAGATGGCTCAGTAGAATAAGTGCTTCCCTGGCAAGCGCCAGGGCCTGAGTTCAATCCCCGGTTTCACCAAAAAAAAAAAAAAAAAAAAAAATCCAATCCTTTCATAGATAAGAAAGTAAGTATATTTGGTCAACGTCACAAAGCTGTTAGTAGAACTACAACTGCAAATCAGTGTTTTTCGGGCTGCTGCACTTTCCATTCTGCCACGTGGATGATTTATTGTTAGATTACACCATAATGGCATATAAAATGTTTCAGCTTTACCATGGGTTCATTTTATATCCTTTGCTATGTTGTTATCTTGATAATTATAGACTATGTCAAAGCTCAGGTTTCAAATTTACTGGCACGAATGAGCGCTGAAAGACAAACTTGAAATTTCTCTTTCTCCTAATCTGTCACATTTGCTAGCATCCCACATTTCCAGGAATCAATTATTAATTACTTGGCATTGGATTTCTTCTCTTTCTGTTTTTCTAGTGTATTGGTTCCAGCTGTCTGGAAGGCCATGGAGAAGAGGCTGGGAGTCAAGCCAAGTCCTGCTTCCTGGATTTTATTAGGATATTGTTGGCAGACAGCTGTGAAGTGGCTGAGAAGCCTGTACCTGCTGTATACTTGCTGCTGCCTTAGTGCTCTGTGGTTGTCAACAGGTACCATTTTGCTTATAGATTTAAGGTTTTTAAAGGGTACTCTGTGAATTCTTCAATTTGTTTTTTTTTTTTTTTTTAACTTTATTTCTTTTTTTTTAAATTAATTATTTATTTATTTGTGTGGCCAGCTCAGCCCACCAGGGGGCGAGGCTGGCTGGCATGTGGTGCTGGGGGATTGAACTGTGGTCCCTGTGCTTTTGCTAAGCTTGTTCTAAGTAGGCGCTTTAGACCACTAAGCCATCTCACCAGCCCCAAAGGATTTCTTTTCTTTTTTTTTTTTTTGTGGAACCGGGGGTTGAACTCAGGCCCTTGAGCTTGCCAGGGAAGCGCTTATTCCACTGAGCCATCCCTTTGGCCCATTCTTCAATTTGTTTTAAAAGCTACTAGGAGAGACAAAAGTGATCTGCTGTCAACAAACTGTCATCCTTTTGGTGGATATTTATTTTAGTGAATTGGGAATTAAACCCTTATACATGCTAGGCAAATTCTCTACCATTGAGCTGCATTCCCAGCCCTGTTTAATTTTTGAGACAGAGCCTCACTGAGTTACCCAGGCTGGGCTAGAACTTGGGATTCTCCTTTCTCAGTCTCTCAAGTAGCTGGGATTCTAGGTATGCACCACTGTGCCTGCCTGGTTTGGTGGGTTCATTTGGGCTTTTGTTTGTTTGCTTTAGAACCAAAATTTAAATTGGATTCTTTCCTGTAAGGGAACATCGATACAAGCATTTTGAGACTTGATAAAGATGTATTGAAAATAAAAAGCTTTCAAAGTTAGATAGATCTGAATTCTAGAGCTGGATGTTTCTGCTTAATGGTTAGGATCTTGGGCAGATGGGTTACCTAATATCTTTGAGGAAGTATAAGATTTATCTCCATCTTTTTTTTCCCTTTTGAGACAGAGTCTAGCTATATAGTTTAGGCTGGCTTTGAACTCATGGTGACCCTCCTCCTTCAGCTGCCTGAGTGCTGGGATTACAGGTGTGCACCACTGTGCCCAGCTAAGATCTGTCTCATATCTGTGGTACCATATAGCACTCTGAATATGTATGTTCAGTAAGTGATACTTTGCTTCCCTCACTAGAAAAACCTATACTTATGAGAAGGTATGCATTTTCTATAGAACGGGGGTGTGTTATTAGATTTCATAAAGTATGTTTTTCTCCTTGAGACTGTTTCACCCCTCGAGAAGCTCTTGGCAGGAATCAGCGAAAAAGGGTAAATTTCAGAGGAGAATACCTTATCTTTTTCTTTTGACATGGTTCCTTTCTTAGTATAGAGTGTAAGAAAACAGTAATTTTAAAACTTCTGAGTGTGCTGCTATTCTGGGAAATGACCAAAAAGCCTTTGGGAGAAGAGACCACTGTTAGGGATAACTAATCAACCTTTTGTTCTTAAAATTACAAAGATTTCTGTTACTTTCTTAAAGCAATCGGTGGTTGTGATCTTGAGAGCCAAGTAAATGGCATAGCTAGCAATCTTAGTAACATCAGCTTTGGGGTTTTTGTTGTCTGGCATTGGTGGTTGATGATTGCATAATTATGGAAGTGGAAATTGTAGTTTGGTAGAAAGTTGACCTAAATGTTTTTACTACAGATGATACTGCAACATTTTATGTGAGATCATTTGAATTAAACAAGTAAGTGATTTTAGTACCATCAAATTAGCAGAATCACATTTTGTGACTTTGTGTGTATGGTAATGGGGGTGGAATCCAGGGCCTTGCATATGCTAAGCAGATATTCATCACAGAACTACATGCTGAACTTTTTTTTTTTTTTTACATGCTGAACCCTTTGTATATTTATATATCTTTTTGAACTGGGAATTGAACTCAGGACCTCATACTTGCCAGGCAAGTGCTATGTTGCTGAGCTATATCCCTGGCCCCCACAAGCCCTTTTTTTTATTTTTTTATTTTATTTTTTTTTTTTCGGAACCGGGGATTGAACTCAGGTCCTTGCGCTTGCCAGGGAAGCGCTTATTCCACTGAGCCATCTCCCCAGCCCCCCACAAGCCCTTTTTTAAGATTTTTCTTTGGAAAAAGAAAAAAAAAAAAAAAAAGAGTTCACTTTGAGACAGGCTCTCACTAAACTGCATAGGTGGGCCTCTAACTTGTGATCCTTCTGCCTCAGCCTCTCAAATATCTGGGCTTGCAGGTATGCACCACTAGATTCATGATTGTAAGTGTTGCATACTTCATCTCATTTAATCCTCATGAGAACACTAAAATAGTTTCATTGTTACTTTAGAGATAAAGAAACAGGCTCAGAGAGACAAAATAAAGGACTTGATCAAGTCACACAGCAAGTACATGACAGAGCCAAGATCCTAACTGAGGTTTGTTTACTCTAGACGTCTGGTTCTTGTTTTTCTCCTACACTGCCTTCCAAACACAGGTGATCTTTTGGAGGACCAAAGTTTTTTTTTTTTTTTTTTTTTTTAACTGAGAATGGTGATAAGTTACTTGAGAGATTAAAAGTACAAGGGAGAAGAAAAAATTCTGAGTCTTTGTGTACTTTCACCTATTACATGGTTAAGCACAGCACAGTGCTGGACTCATTAGGCAAATCTTTAATACTCCTTGATTCTGATACCCCCAAACAGAAACCCAGTCAAGATGGTGTTAAGAGTAGATATAATGGGAGTCAGGGTGTTCTAGTTCCATTTTAGAGAAATTTGGAGAGTTAAAAAAAAATTTATGGGGAAAAAACCAAAACAAAACAAAACAAAAAAACAGAATTTGGGGGCCGGGGAGATGGCTCAGTGGAATAAGTGCTTCCCTGGCAAGCGCAAGGGCCTGAGTTCAATCCCCAGTTCTGCCAA